AGGGCGCGGGGTCCGAGGGCACTAGGCCGCCGACCCCCACAGGCACGCCCCGCCCGGCGCGAGACCGCTGCCACACACAGAGAGACGGCCCGTCCCGGGCTGAAGATGGCAGGCCGGGACTCACCCGTCACGCCGCCACCGAGCCCGCCACCTTGCAGTGCCAGCCGGGCCGTGCGCTGCCGCCCGTGGGTTCCCAGCCACGCAGCGCCGGGGACGGACGTGGACACACAGCTCTAAGACCCGGCAGCCCGACGCCCCACACTTCCGGGGCCGGAAGTCGCGGCTCCCCCTCAGCCCCACGCCGGAAATCCACTACACGCAGGCGCCGCAGGAAGTCCCGCCTCCGCCCCAAGCTAGTACCGCCGGAAATCCAGCCCCGCGAAGGGAGTCCAGCGCGCCGCCAGGGCGGTCGGGAGGCCCCAAGAGGGTCGCGGAGGTGTGATGTTGTTGTTCGACCCCGAGACCGCCGGGGCCTCGACCCGTGAGGTCGGCGACCATCTGGAGACGCCGCGGAGGGCCGGGGGGTGGGGCGTGGGCGCTGAGGGCCCGCGGGTACTCACGGCGGCGGGTTACTGCGGGCGCCTGGGTCTGGCGCAGGTCGGCGTCCATCGGGACCCAGGTCGGGCATGTGGGAACGGCTGCTCCCAGTCAGAACCGCCGAGTGTGCCGGGAGCCGTTTCCCGGGGCGTCGGGAGCGAGGTGGCTGCGCGCGGAGCCTGGCGGATCTGCGGAGGGTGACTCACCCACTGCAGTCTCCTGTCTGAAATGTGTGTTAGCCATTGGCTGCAGAGAGGAAACAAAGGCAGCCTCTCGTCGCGGAAGGTGGGACCTGATGGCCTTCTTGTCCTTGTCCAGGTTGGAAAAATTACAGGGTGCGCAGAAGGCCTCGGCTCTACGAACAACCAGCTGGGCGTTTAAACCCTTAAGTAAAGACGAAATCAGACGTGGGAGCATTTTTCTTTTAAACAGTAAAGGTCATCATTCAGAGTCAAGAAGCACTAGTATGATTGTTGCACAAGGAACAAACGATGTATTTGGGGATCCAAATAACCAAAAAGTTTGTAGAATAAAATCTGAAGTTACTTCAGCATTGAGTATAATAAAGCTTATTACTAAAATCAATTATATAAGGTGTGGGGCTTCCCTGGTGCTGCAGTGATTAAGAATCCACCTGCCAATGCAGGGGACAAACCCATGTTCCACAACTACTGAGCCCTCGGGCCTGGAGCCTGTGCTCTGCAGTAAGAGAAGCCACTGCAAGGAGAAGCCCAAGCACCACAACTAGAGAAAGCCTTTGCACAGCAATGAAGACCCAATGCAGCCATAAATAAATAATAATTTTTTAAAAAAATTGTTTAAGGGGAACTGAGGATGTCAAACTTGGAGGTTGTGACTATCATTCAACAAGAAATTCTATTAAAGACCTAATATGCACAAGGTATTCCGCTGGGTGAGGAAGCACATAGAATGCCTGATTAACCACAATATTGGCTGCAACTGATACACGTGCTAATATGTGGTTTTGTTTTGCAGCACAGCATCCACAGTTTGGATGAAACTTAGGGTATTGTTAATTGGGGTAACATTTTCTCTGATATACTTAGGAGTCCATAAAAGTCACTGTAAATAAAATGATTGCATAAAGTGTCACAAAAATAAGACAGGAAAGGAGTCAACACATTGAGGGCCTGTTGCATGCCAGGCAGTTCAGAGATTTGGTAACTTTGATCCTCAAAACAATCCAATAAAGTAAAAATTATTCTATTAGAGAAATATAAATCAAAAGTGCAATGAGGTATCACCTCACACTGGTCAGAATGGCCATCATCAAAAAATCTACAAATGAATGCTGGAAAGGGTGTGGAGAAAAGGGAACCCTCTTGTACTGTCGATGGGAATGTAAATTGGTACAACCACTATGGAGAATAGTATGGAGGTTCCTTTAAAAACGAAAAATCGAGTTACTGTATGATCCTACAATCCCACTCTTGGGCATATATCCGGACAAAACTCTAATTTGAAAAGATATGTGCACCCCTGTGTTCATAGCAGCACTATTCACAAGAGTCAAAACATGGAATGAAAAAAAAAAAAAACATGGAATGAACCTAAATGTCCATTGACAAGATGAATGGATAAAGAAAATGTACATGAATACAGTGGAATACTACTCAGCCATAAAAAAGAATGAAATAATGCCATTTGCAACATGGATGCACCTAGGGATTATCATTCTGAGTGAAAAAAGATAAAAATATATATCATGTGGGATCTAAACTATGACACAAATGAACATATTTATAGACCAGAATAGACTCTGATACAGAAAACAAACATGATTATCAAAGGGGAAAGGTGGGGGGTAAAGATAAGTTAGGAGGTTGGGATTAACATATACACACTAATATATATAAATAGATAACAAGGATTTACTGTAAAGCACAGGGAACTATATTCAATATCTTGTAAACCTATACTGTAAAAGAATTGGGAAACTACATGTATAACTGAATCACTTTGCTCTACACCAGAAATTAACACAAGTATACTTCAATTAAAAAAAAAATTATTCGAAATTGAATTCTAATTAAGGGTAAGAATGTCAAAATTACTTGTCAGGGCTTCCCTGGTGGCACAGTGGTTGAGAGTCCACCTGCAGATGCAAGGGACACAGGTTCGTGTCCCGGTTCGGGAAGATCCCACATGCCACGGAGCGGCTAGGCCCGTGAGCCATGGCCGCTGAGCCTGCGCGTCCGGAGCCTGTGCTCCGCAACGGGAGAGGCCACAACAGTGAGAGGCCAGCGTACAGCAAAAAAAAAAAAATTGTCAAAAGCAACCTAAGTGTCCATCAACAGATGAATGGATAAAGAAGATGTGGCACATATATGCAATGGAATATTAGTGAGCCATAAAAAGAAACGAAATTGAGTTATTTGTAGTGAGGTGGATGGACCTAGAGTCTGGCATACAGAGTGAAGTCAGAAAGAGAAAAACAAATACTGTTTGCTAACACATACATGGAATCTAAAAAAAAAAAAAGGTTCTGAAGAACCTAGGGGCAGTACAGGAATAAAGACACAGACGTAGAGAATGGACTTGAGGACACGGGGAGCGGGAAGGGTAAGCTGGGACGAAGTGAGAGAGTGGCATGGACACATATACACTGCCAAATGTAAAATAGGTAGCTAGTGGGAAGCAGCTGCATAGCACAGGGAGATCAGCTCGGTGCTTTGTGACCACCTAGAGGGGTGGGATAGGGAGGGTGGGAGGGAGATGCAAGAGGGAGGAGATATGGGGATATATGTATATGTAGAGCTGATTCACTTTGTTATAAAGCACAAACTAACACACCATTGTAAATCAATTATACTCCAATAAAGATGTTAAAATACTTGTCAAAAGTCAGAAAGCTAGTATGCAATGGAGCAAAGATTGGATTAAAATCCAGGTCCACATCAAAGTCCACATTTTCCACAGCGCATTCCTTTGATAGGGCTGTTGTAACAGAATAACACAAACTAGGCTTAAACAACAGAAATTTATTGTCTCAGGTCTGGAGGCTTGAGGTCCAGGATCAAGGTGTCAGTGTTACATTTTGTTTGTGTCAGTGTTGGTTCCTTCCGAGACCTGTGATGGGGAATCTATGCCATGCGTCTCCCTCTCTCTCTCTCTCTCTCTCTCTCTCTCTCTCTCTCTCTCTCTCTCTCTCTCCCTTAGTTTCTGGTGGTTTGCCAGCAACTCCGAATTGTAGAGGTCAAGTTTTCTAATTCCTTTTATTCACAATTTTAAGTCGCTACACTTCCGGGTGCAACGGCTCACGCTTACCGACCGATCTCAATTTACTGCACAAAACGGCCGCGAGCAAGGCACCTCCCCACGCCTCAGAGCCCGAGCGTGCAGAGACGCCTGACATCAGCACGTCACCAGCGCAGGGCCTCGGGCGCCTCGATTGGCTGGCTCGGCCAGGGCGTGACTGGTGGGCGGCCGCTCTCCCAGGCCCCTTCTCTCCTAGCTCACTCTGTCGGGTAGCTCCGCAGTCGAGGAGCCCCCCCCCCCCACTCACTCACGCCCCCCACACCCACACACACACACACACTCAGCGGCACAGGGAGGACGCTGAAAGCACCTGCGCTTCGGCCTGGGGGCGGCTCTGCAACTCACGGCCCTGGGAGGAGACCCCTCGGGCTCCGGGAGTGGCGCCACCGCGCGACCGTGACGTGAGGCGCGGCCGGCGCGCCATTGGCCAGCGGCAATGTGGCGCTCTCTGGCGCGGGCGCGGGCGATTGGGCGCGCGGCGTTGGGAGGCCGGGCTCGGGCCGGGGGCGGGCCCTGTGCTTGGGTGCTAGGCCTGCAGGAGCCGATCGCTGCGGAGTATCGTCCCGGTGCCGGTCTGCTTGTGAGGTAAGGAGGCTGGGTCTCTGAGGGGAGGCGGGCTGGAGTCCCGGGCTCGGCGTTGGGCGCGGCGCCGAGGGTTGGGCCCACTGCCTGTTAGTCGCGTCCTGTGAGCTCAGGGTGCTTTTTCCTCTTAACTGTTTTGGGTAGAAGCCAGAGGGCGGAGGTCTATGCGGCGCGGGAAGCGCGTGGGGTCGCCTCCGGGCTGGGTGGGCGCAGGGGGAGGTAGCG